TGAAATTTGGGGGGACCTCTCACATCCAAACCATAACACACTGTATTCTCACATCAACGTTGTTTTATGAATTATACACTGTCACTGTTGCTATGATATATTTCAGAACACCATGCTTACTCAGAAATGTTCTAAGATCTGTTTATGCAGATTGTCCTAATTTACTAAAATGATTATATTTATGAAATACGCAATAGTGTTGCGACAATAACAGTGATGTGTACATTGTAAAATTATAGGAATAGATGTTTCCAGTACTATAGTTAGGTGGCTTCTACTATTTCTGCTCCCTTTTCCATTTATAGTACTGCTAATAATATGAAATTTAAAATTATGAAAAGTTCAAATAAAACATTTTTTTTGTTTTTATACTTCTTTGGAAATTAAAAAGGGCACAGAAACATGATTTTAGAGAAGTGTTGCAAGGAGATAATGATATGTAATCTAATTCATGAGAGTAGATGACTTCTTCTTGAGTCTTATGTGGAAAGACTTCTTGAGTCTTATGAGGATATAATTTAGGAATATAGTGTCTCCCTTTCATAAAATCAGCCTGCTATAATCTATAATCTAGGATTTGTGTCATGAGACTTTGCCATTGGGTTTCTTCTCAAGAAGTTCATCAAAACATTATGCAATTTTCAGTCATAGTGAAGAAATTATATTCACCATTTTAATATTGTGAAAATATTGGTAAAGACACCAAAACTCTCGACTATCCTACAGCACATCATAGCAGTCTTCTGTGATCACATTATGAGTGCATATTTGGGGATGATATAAACACGTGAGGATCTCAATCATTCAATAGGAAAGTCTACGAATGTGTGGGAGGCAGTGTGAGTGAATGAGTATCAAAGAGAGGTTGTATTCAGCAAAGATCAACTGACTCCTCCACATTTTTGTCTGCGCTTGCCCTGCATGCCAAGAAATGTAGAACAAGGAATCTTTTTTTCTTTTTTTCTTTGTTTTTAGAGTACTTCTGAATATCTTACAGATGTACTTCCAGTCACTGTCACAGAGATGTTTATTATAGATGTAAGTCTTATAACTTAAAGGATAACTTGTAGATTTATAAAATATTATGACATTAAATGTCTAGAATGACTATAATATACTCCAACTTTTTCTAGAATAGAGATTTCTGCTTTTTACTCAAGTATATGTTCCAATTTTGACACTTAAAATATTTTCTGTTTGTATTTAAGTAATAAGAAATTCTAAACTCTTCCATAAACAAATGGCTTTTTGGAATGTCTCATTATTATTACTGCTATATTCAGAAGCTATTATTTTGAGGTCTTGATGTTCAGGGGAGATATTAAAAATAAAATTTTATGAAGAATTACTTAAACTACACAAAATGCAAGAATTATTAAAATTATAAAGAAATTCAAAGACAAATCAATAAGCAAAGTTTTACTATCCAGCTAAAAACAAAATCAATATTAATTAAAATTTGTTCACTCATTCTGTATGCCCATATCTGCACATACTTACATACACAGATTCACATAGAAACAGTGGTATCAATAGATGATTTTTATTTAGAGTTTCCATTTTTCTGTTGAAATTCTTTCTATTATCTCCTTATAGCAAGTTCCATTTTATGATTATATCCAATGGTTTATCCATGCTGTATGTTTTCATGAGAGCCACTTAAGAATATTTATTTTCTAATTTCATAATCTGAATTATCTTTGCATCTCTTTCTATTAATTGTTTTTGTCTTCATTATTGAGCACATTTTATTACTTTTTATACATTATATTATTAGTCTGTTGTTCCATAAGAAATTACTCCCAAGCTTAAAACAATCAATAATTATTATCTCATAATTTCTCTGGGTCAGGAATCTGTTGTGGTTTATCTGGGTGGTTGTGGCTCAGGGTATCTTATGTGGAGACATACAGTCAAGTTGTCAGCCAGGGCTGAAGTCATTTAAAAAGGCTGAAAAACTACTTTCAAGCTCCCATAAGAGGCTGGATAACCATTCTGTAGCTCATGCAATTGGCGATTACGAGGAGGGTGTTTAATTACTCACCATGTGTCCTGTATATCTACTTTCCTAATGATGCAACCGATGACTTCAGAGCTAGTGATTTCATGGTGTGGGGGGAGATCCCAAGATAGAAATCATGTTGTTTTTTTTAATAACCTAATTTCAGAGGTGACATACCTTTTCTTCTGTCATATTCTATTAAGTTAATAAGTCCAGTTCACACTCAAGGGGAGATGATTACAAAAATGATGTATGTCCCACAGCATAGAGTTCATTAGAGACCATCTTTGAGGCTATCTATTGCACACATCTAGTGATTTTTGCAAGCATGCTGGACATTATACCATTCTGTGTTTCAGGTCTTACTTTATTTCTTTTACAGACTATTGGGTTCTCTTTTACTAGATAACTACTTTATTGTGAGATCATTTTAATCTCATCAAAATGTTTTCAAACTTTTTTTAGATAGGGGTCAATATAATCCCTTGCTCTAAGGCTAGAATAATCAGTTATGCTTAAAATGTAAACCTTTCTAGAGTCACAGAATATTCAGCAAGATCTCTCCTCTGGTTTGACTTTCAAAAATGTTATCTCCCATATACCTAAAACAGATATATGTGTGTATGTATACTAATGCAGGAATCCACTGTAGATGCACTACAATGTACATTATACTACCTTTATATTGATGTTGTAGAAAATAGCCTATTTCATCTTCTTTGTGTCATAATTTTTATATGTTAAAATCTAGATGGTGTGAAAAATGAATTTTAGTAAAGATACCAGATATTTGATAAAGAAAATAATTATTAATTGCAATTTTGATTTAGAGGTAGAATAATAGATAGTATAATTGAAATATTCACAAGAGTAAAAATAATTTGGAAATTCGTATTTCAGTGTCTGCTTTTCATATCAATAATACAATGAACTATGCTTCTGATCAACTTTATTGCCTTTGTGATATGATACAGCATATATTTTTGCATAAATTGACAAACATAGAAGATAGTCAATAATCTAAGAAGGAAAGAAAGTTTGTCTGAAGGACTGTTTTCAGGCCTCCAGTTGAATGAGATTTTCAGTTTCATTACACTTTCAGTGTATTTGTAAATATACTCATTTTGTCTATAGCATTGGAGTAGTAAAAAAAAGCATCAAAAAACTTTAAAAATCAAACTTATACATAAAAAGTTTGTGATATCATCTTGGAGTATTTCTGACATTGTCTAATGACTTTGGTATCAAGGATTCCATGATGCATTTATAAATATATATATATATATATATATATATATATATATATATATATATAAAAGAGAGAGAGAGAGAGAGAGAGAGAGAGAGAGAAGGGGGTGTCAGGAAATTCTGAATTGCATTTGATATGGATCCTGAATTACATTTGTAATTGTTAAGTTTTATTACAATTTATAAGTACATAGCACAAATGTCTCAGAATAAATATCCTTATAACAGTTTTCAAAATGCCAAGAAGCAAAATGGAGAATTTTACATTGTGGCAAATTTGTATTTGCTGTTTTTTCCTCCAACATTAACATTTATGGAACTACAAGGTTTTTATTATTCTAAACACAGAGCTGAAGGACTGTTCATGAAGAGTGCTGGAAATGCTAGATAAGCTTTTAGTGACTGGCAGTGCCAAAGCTAGCTGTGCTTAAGTTATCTCCTATGCTACCTTATTATTTTGCCTTGTTGTTGCTAAAGGGGGAATTTATTAAGTGAGAAGAAAATTCAGACCAATGAATCAATTACTTCTCTCTTTCCTT